TTGGTTATTTACCAGTGGGCAAAAATGCGTAAGGTGGCAAGAATGGCACCCCGAAATGGTTATCTTTCTAGTCGTTCTCGGTAATGGTAAAACGTGCTACATTATCCTTCATGCTGGAAATGATGAGGGTTTTATTCCTGACGCTAGTTTAATTTTTTCGTCCACAAAGAATAAAAGGCCCGGCTCAAATTGAGCACAGCCCACGCATGGGTTATTTTGTAAAACGTGGTTTTAGACGGAGTGACGCATATTAAACCCAAACCACGGCCAGGCTACTGCCAGACTTGGTTAGCATGGATAGAGTTGTGCTAGCAACACAGTCTCGTGAGTCGTGGGTCTCTACCTAACCTTAGTTATTTTGTTTTGTGTGACCAATTTTTTTTTATTCAGTGAAAATGGAAAAGATTATTGAAATTGTTCGAAGCTTTAGCGAGCATATTGCTTATATTTTCTTTATTTGTGCTAAGCGACTCGGATGTAAGTCGCCGTTAGAATTATTCAAAAAAATTAATTTAAATTAATTTTTTATTAAATCAAATGAGAACAAATCGAGAACTAAGGAAAAAAACAAATTTTCAGTTCCTAGCAAAATGTTTATGAACACCTAAGATGAAAACTTCAAAATAAAATTTGATGGTACTTTTTCGTGATGCTCACATTGTAATGGCTTTTATACACTGAAATTAAAATTAAAAAAGAACATGAAGAAAGTAGAAAAATAATAAAAAATTCTCAAATTTAAATTTATCTCGAAAACAAAATACGATCTGGAATTTTTGTATTTTTTTAGCTCTTCTGTTGTTTATTACGTTATTTCACTTATTTCAACAATACTCTGTATAGTATTTTGTTAGAGGATTCCAACTTAGTACCCTCAGCATTGTAAAAGTCTCCAAGAAATTAATATCCGATGGAGTTTTTCAAAACAAGCGAAATGAAAGTCGGAATATTCAACGGCATTGTGGAGAGTTACAATATCTGCCTGTTATGCTAATTAGTAATTAGAAAGTCAATATCGGCAAAACCAGCTTATTCAAATTATGGGTATCTACCTGTTATAGTCTTTTGTTGAAGGATTTCAATTTATTACTCTTATCATATGTAAAAGTTCTCAAGAAATTAATATCAGGTTCAGTTTTCAATGAAACAAAGATCTAATCTTTAACAGAATTGTGACCATGTAAAATATCTGCTTATTATGCTAATTAGTAATAAGAAAGTCAAATCGGCAAAAGCAGCTTATTCAAATTATATCTGTAGTCTTTTGTTGAAGGATTTCAATTTTTTACCCTTAACATTTGTGAAAGTTTTCAAAATATTTATATTTTCAGATTAGAAATTGTTAGTGGGATATTAGGGTCACAATCAGCCCACTCGTAAATTGTGTTTTAAATTGTGTAAATTGTGTCACCTAATTTTATGGATAAAACATATTCTACACAAATATTTGATATGGGCGTGGGCTGTGTTCAATATGCGTTAGTATTGAAAAACGTGTACTTGGACTAAGTTGGACCATACGTGGGCTGTGCTCAATTTGCGCCGGGGCTAAAGGTGATTTCCATGGAAATATTAATGCAAATATTTTTGAAGAAAATTTGTTAAAAAAATTGGAGCGACTATCCATAATAGTGTTGGATAATGCATCCTACCAGTAGAAGAAGAGAGATTTCCTTCAAGCAGCTGGACAAAATAAGAAATAAAGTTGTGGTTGACAGAAAAAAAAACTTATTACAGTGACATATTTTTTAAAAGTCGATTTACTTCAAAGGTGTGGAGACACAAAATTCAAAAGAAATTTGTTACTGACCAAATGGCTCTTAAATTTGGCCATAAAGTTATTCGACTTCCGCCCTACCATTGCCACTATAATGCAATTGAGTTAGTTTGGGGTATAGCCAAAAATTTTTATGATAAACATATGTATCCAAAACAACAGATAACGTATCTTAGTTTATGAAAAGAATTGCTAGAACAAATAAAGGCAGAACAATGGCAAAATTGTATTAGATATACGGAAGACATAATCGTACAGTCTTTTCAAACCCAGCCAGTTATAGATGAGGTCCTAATTATTCGGATTGATAATTCAGATAGTGACGACTCTGAAAGTGAAATATCACACAGTGAATAGGACAAATTTGCTGAAAAGAAATAAAAAATTGTTTCAGGAATTCAATTCGGACTTTGTGGTGTGTTTTAGTTAAACGATAAAGTACCTTCGGTCTAATTACTGGACTGCATACTTTCAATAGCTTAATGTTAATCATTCATTAACATTCAAAGCAGAATGTTAAACATTCTGCTTTGCTGAAAACTCGGAAGTGATTTAGTGCCAATTTGTCTCAAGGTCATATTTAATACAGTGTCTGCAGAAAGTAAAGTGTTGGATGTATTTTATTCAAATTTGGACATACCAGCAACTTGGCAAGTATTTTCCAATTTAACTAGATACAAAACCATTCGAAACATTTTTATTCTCTGCAAAATAGAGACTTATACAGACCTTGATGAACATTTGATGTCGACAAATTATTTCGAGTACTCGAAATATTCCGTCCCACTTCTTTTAACACGCCTTGCATATACATATTATATTCACTTTATTTGATACAGCAAAATTCAATATTATTACTGAACATAAAATACAGGAAATTAAATATTTTTACTTTTCAAGCGATCGGAATTAAATATTAACGCCCCACTGTTCATATCTTAATTAGACATCAGCCGTCATAGGGTAAAACGATTATATGAATAGACCATCTCAGTGAAATTTATCATTGCATTTACTAATTTTGCACAACAGGTAGAGGTCGGCTTTTCACTTTTTTCCTCTGTTTTCTGGAAAATTGCTTTGTGAGTTCGTTGCCTCCTTTTTCTGCTTCACTTACACTTGTTTTATAATTGCTAGAGAACACAACAAGAACACTTATCAGCCTGTCTTTTGCCGCCAGGTTGGTTTTCTTTATCTCAACTGTGAATTGTCTTGCGACAGTCACCATATATTACCTAGCATTTTGTTTGAAATCATGTTACCATTCTTTTCTTATTAAATTTTTTTTAAAACTGAGAATAGCCTCTTTTCCTTAGGCCAGACAGCATAAAAACCTTTTGTTGTTTGGATAAGTACAGTACCTAAATTGATGAATTGTTTCACATTTCATGTAGATGTGTTACAGTCTTAAACTTGTAAACATTCTAGTGACTTTACATAATCACTAATTTGATTACATCTTTTTTTAAAAAACAGCATACAAACTTGTTTTCATTATTACTATTTTCATTGGATTATGGACGGAGTGGGTGTTTCCAATTCATTTGCATTTTCTGTGGGGAATACCCTAGCTTCTTTCTTGTGTAACATTATTCAAATAATATAACATCTCTTTTTAACCGCTATGAAAATATTATTAATTCGTTAATTCAAAATCACTCTAGTTATAAAATTACAAATCATATACATCCAATTTGTAGTGTACAGTGTACCAGGTTTCTCATTATATTTTGACCCCCACTTATTTTCCTTAATTTCAGGAATACAAAAAAAGTTTCAAATAATAGTTGTATTATTTTATCTATACCGACCAACAATGTAGCAACAGACCAAATTTTGTATACAGGGAGTGCCCAATAAAATGCATCTTCAATATTTCAAATGGAACACCCTGTATTTTTTTAGTTTTGAGTAGCCCTGCATTTCCTGATTACCAATATATCACATATTATAGGAAACGATATTTAATGATCAGTCCAAATTCTAGCATATGCAACACGACGTGGACATTATAACAAGAACCAGGGTGAGAACTGCGGAAATCCTAACCGAGCTAATAGCAGCAGCAGAACGAATGGGGTTACATATAAATCAAAATAAAACCAAATTCATGGCGACTAACACAAACACAAGAGCTGGAAATGTTGACGCAGATTTAATCATCAATGACCAAAACTTCGAAGCAGTCAAAGAATTCATATATCTAGGGACATTGGTTAACCCCAATAATAACACATCTGACGAAATAAAAAGGCGAATAATAATTGCAAACATGTGTTAACATGGTCTATCAAAGTACTTAGCTAACAAACGTCTATCTAAAAAAACTCGTATAAGGCTGTATAGAACACTGACAGTCCCTGTTCTCACATATGGATCAGAGGCATGGACATTAACTAAAACAGATGTATCCGCTCTATCGATTTTTGAAAGAAAGGTGCTACACAAGATATTCGGAACAGTGTGTGACAACGGGATATAGAGGCATAGATATAACTTTGAACTGCAGAATATCTACAAGCATACATTTAGTGGTAAAGATATTACCACTCTAATTAAGCGAAACCGCCTGCAGTGGACAGGACATGTAGACCTGTTCTTCTTCTTGTTCCAATATTTAGTTGTCAACACTTTTTGGCTATCAAACAATTAATTAAATAATAAATATATATAATTAAATATATATACATAATATACATATAATACATAAAATATATAATTAAATAATTCCATATATCATAAAGAATGTTGTTAATTTCATATTTACAATTAAAAAAAATTAAAATAGAAGAATTTTAGTAAATTGGTATCTTATTCGCAAAATAACTGCCCAACATTTTGTTGTTAGGGCTTGTATTTTATTAACTGCAGTTTTCGTGTTTTATTTAAAACTATTCGATATCACATTTCATTATTTATTGTCCACAAATAGGGACATACCTTAGATTTATTATTGTTAACTATTGTATGTCCACATTTTTTTTTATTTATAAGAACTTGATTTTAAGATTATCAGCAATGATTTCGTACTCCCATTTTACTTCAGTTTTACCTCTATTATTAAGAAATTATTATTACATTCAAAGAAAAAACAAAAAAATCTTCTGTAAAATTTACTTTTTGTGATTTACAATGCTTCTGCATTCAGGTGACGAAATATAAATCTAAGAAAAAAAATCAATCCCTGGTACTTATCCAAGAAGTGATTTGCATGATTACACTTCTAGGACTTTTTTTCAGTATGAATTCTCAAATGCCTCTCCAAATTACCATTCCGGGAAAACTGCTTAGAACAAATATTACATTTATATGATTTTTCTCCAGAGTGTATCAACAAATGCATTTTAAAGTAACTTTGCTGAGAAAACTGTTTAAAACAAATTTCACACTTATAAGGCTTTTCTCCAGTGTGAACTTTTGTGTGGTCATCCAAATAGGTTTTTCGCATAAACTGCTTTAAACAAATTTCACACTTGTAAGGTTTCTCTCCAGTGTGCAATCTCACATGTCTTTTTAAACTACTTGCTTCTGTATAATGTCTAAAACAAATTTCACACTTGTAACATTGTTCTCCAATGTGAGTGTTCAAATGTCTTTCCAAATTACCTTTCTGAGAAAATTGCTTGAAACAAATATCACAGTTGTAAGGTTTTTGACCAGTGTGAACTTTAGTATGTTCATCCAAAATACTTTTATGAGTAAACTGCTTATAACAAATTGCACACTTGAAAGGTTTTTGTCCAGTGTGTACTTTCCTATGTGTTTCCAAATGATCTTCTTCTCTAAACTGCTTAAAACAAATTTCACACTTGTGAGGTTTTTTCTCAGTGTGCAATCTTACATGTCTTTTCAAACTACTTGCTTCAGTATAATGTTTAAAACAAATTTCACACTTATAAGGTTTTTCTCCAATGTGAGTGTTTAAATGTCTCTCCAAATTACCTCTCTGAGAAAACTGCTTAAAACAAATATCACAAGTGGCTGGTTTTTCTCCAGTGTGAGTTCTCAAATGTTTCTCCAAGCTACTTTTGTGGGAAAACTGCTTAAAACAGATTTCACACTTATAAGACTTTACTCCAGTGTGAACTTTTGTATGTTGATTCAAATAGGTTTGTAGCATAAACTGTTTTAAACAAATTTCACATTTATAACGTTTTTCTCTAGAGTGCAATGTCAAATGTCTTCTTAAATTTCTCGCATCACTAAACTGCTTAGCACAAATTTTGCACTTGTAAGGTTTTTCACCAGTGTGAACTGTCATATGCACATCCAAAGAATTTTTATAAGCAAACTGCTTAAAACAAATTTCACACTTATAAGGTCTTTCTCCAGTGTGTATTCTCAAATGTACATCCAAATTAACTTTCTGAGAAAACTGTTTTAAACAAATATTACACTTATAAGGCTTTTCTCCAGTGTGCAATCTCACAAGTCTGTTCAAACTACTTCCTTTAGTATAATGCCTAAAACAGGTTTCACATTCTAAAGATTTTTCTCCAATGTGATTGTTCAAATGTATCTCCAAATCATCTTTCTGATAAAACTGCTTAGAACAAATATCACACTTGCAAGGTTTTTGTCCAGTGTAAATTCTTAAATGTTCATCCAAAGTTTCACTTTTTAGTGTTTTTTCTTGAACACAGCAGCTCTTATTTTGTTCTTTATTACATGTGCTAACATGTATTCTTTTTGTAGTATCCGAATTGTTCTCCTCTTCAAGAAAGTCTAAAATAAAAACTAGAATACATATTTTTTCTATTTAAAAGACGATTTAAAGCAACAACAAATTAAGACTTTTAATTGAAGTACTACTCATCAAATATGGCTTGAGACTTGGTCTTTTTAATATTAGGCTTACAAGTGACATGCTTGAATAACTTGTTATAAAATAAAATAAGAGTTGGTTGTTACCTCTCAGGGTATACGGTTCCCTTTTTCTAATTGGGAAATTGTATGTTTCCTTAAAAAATGTAATCCTTTATCACCAACCTAGTGTCTTAATAATTATAATGTTCATCATTTAAATGATGTAATTTACGGGCCATTTGACCTATTTATGTGGCTAGTTCCAACCTCTTTATCGAGCTTTTGAGAATTTATCTATTTTGGATAATTTTTAAAAATTTGAATGATAAAATTCTATACCATTTTACAAAGTTTTTACTTCATTGTACGTTTTTTTTAATTATATTTACTTCATTATACTAAATTAAAAAAAAAGATTTCAGTATTTTTTTTACTGTAGTCTTTTCATTATACATACCTGGTTCACTGTTATGATTTGATGATGTGTCCTTATCAATGTCATATTTTACATCTTCGATATCTATTTTGGTATTTATTTGATTTTGTTCCCATTTTATAACTTTAGGGTGTACCTCATTTAGATCATTACTATGGTCCAAACTGTGTTTTATATCATATTGCTGATCATGAATATCAAGTAATTCTTCTTTAATTTCATATTTAATAACAGTGTCTACATCATCTCTTTCAACTTTAATCTTTTCTTCTTGTTTTACTTCCATTTATTTACTTCTAGATAATTTACAGGATAATGTGGATTAGAATCAATAATAGTCTTAATAAGCCAAATAATAAAATGTAGATACTAGAATAATAGAAATATAAAAACAGCACTAGTAATACTGTAGGATTATCTAATTAATCAGAAATTAAAGTATAAGTATATTATAAAAGGAGATATTGTTTGTCCTCTTTAACTTTTAAATGTTTATGGTTTCGGTTTGTTTTTTGTTTCATCATTTTATTTTACGTTTTTACGTGAGTTATTGCAGATAATTTCTTCTTCCTCTCCTCTTCGTCTATTGTCTTGGCCTCCGTCTCTTAGGTACTTTACCACTTCTCGTTTTTAAGCTATAACTTCATCTAATTTAGATAACGACTTACGTCATTATTTACGTCAGAGATCGAAGTTGACATAGTTGCCAAAGTATAAAAAAATCCTGACTCCATTTTAAATCAAATTGGTCACATAATTATTGCAAAAGTATTACCATCTCTTTACAACGACTATTTAAATTCTTACGTGACATTTTTGAAATAAAACACACTAATTTTGTTCTAAAACGAACAGATTTTATTAAATAGGTAAAAATATAAAACAAGAGGTATTCACTTTAAAATTTAAAATAATAAAGTACAAAAAGTGTCAACACCGCAACTGTCAAATAAGTGTTACCAATTTATGCCAAAATTTTACCTTCGTTCGATTACAGTTACAGTGTGTTCCGAACAAATGTTCTTGATAAAAACTCTTTATAATGGATTTATACAAATTAAATGAAACATATTATTGTGTATTTCTTTAAGTTAACATAAATAGAAATTTTTAAATATTATTTCAACGCGTATATAATAAAATATGTCTAGTGGCTGTAATGCCAGTGTACACGGTAAAGTGATTCTAAAAAGAACACACCTAAACCCTAAATATTTCGTGTTGGTATCATATGACGTCACAGGCTATGACGCCGATGACGTGCATCGTTATATAAATTAGATGAAGTGTATAGATTTTGGAATCCTCTTTTAAGTGGGTCTGGATTTTTTTCATATTCCCTTCCGTTTATTTCCTTGTATGTTGTATGACTTTTTTTAATAGATAATTTCTTTTAGGCTAAGGCCCATATTTATAAACGATGCTCAAGTATGGATCGATACCATGATACATACAAGCGATTATTAGCGATAATTATAGTATCATGGATCGATACTTGAGATCGACCTTGAATCAAATTTGTGTTCTATAAACCGTTCTCAAGCACGAAGTCGAGCTTGAGACGCAAAAATGACAGCTCGTACTCAAGCATCCGATCGACCTGCCTTGAGCACGGGATCCTAACCTAACTTGTTTGTTTATATTTATGAATATTTCCAATACAATATTTTCTTTGTTTTTTGAGATTAATATTGTCGTTCAACATCCAGGATAAAGTATTGGTAGCTTATTATTTGATCAAAGTTGATTAAAAGTTAGAATGGAAAGAGGGCAAATTCCAGAATTATTATGAATAGTGAATATGTATGCAGTGCAGACACAATCTACTTACTCCAGTATTATAGCCAGGTATTTATTGATAATTGGCCAAATAAAAAATAGATTATTTGATAAATACATCTTTTTAGGCAATGATCAACAAAATAGATATAATAATAGTACACATGTAATGTGTAAATGGATATTTGGAACCTGGAAAATATGGTTTCCCTGTCTGCAATGAGGCCTACAAACCAAATTAAATACATATCTTGCATAATAAGTGCTACAGCAGTACTTTGCAACATATGTTTACAGGAAAATAATGATAGTGATGATGATTTTCTAGAAAGTAGTAAATAGAAACTTTAATGATGTGGAATGAGGTTTAAATTTTAGGAGACATTTTATTCACCAATGTTATGCATGGGAATGTAAATACAATATTGAATACTTATATTATGTATGTTCTACCTTATTTCTCAAAATGTCAGAATGATTATCATTACTTGATTACACTTTTTGTTGTTTTTTTTTATTTTATATCTTATCTTTGTTTATTCAAAGTTGTTGATTTTGAGAATTAAATACCTATATTATATTAGATATAGTATGTTTTTGTCTTATTTATAAAAATGTGTTTGTTTTAATTTTAAAATAAATGAGGGTTTTCACTCACTATGCTCAGACAACTAAAGTAAGTATGTCTTCTCTGAGTACAAGGAGTTTCCCTCATTTTAATTAAGTGTTTATTCCTTTCATAAAACCTTTCCTTACCAAATAAAAATTAATACAAATTTAGAATATTTATTTAAAAAAATTATAGTTATAATTAAATACAATGTAAATGATTATTTATTTTATAGCTTTATCAGGAGTAAACTGTACAACAATTAGAACATTACAAAAATATAAAGTAATTATATATATATATATATATATATATTATATATATATATTATATATATATATATATATATATATATTATATATATATATTTAAAAATATATTCAATGGTTGAATATCAGAGGTTTTATCTGTCAATAATTGGCAAATAAAAGTCGTCAACTACTTTATTGATTTATTTGAATATGTTTCGCTTTTATTTGTAAAAGCATCATCAGTTCACTACAAATAAAAAAGATTTTAGCATATAAGTAAACAACCACCAGGGTTCATACTTACAAAAACAATTTGTAGATTTTTTAAAGGATGTTATAAAAACTCTATAATAACTTAACATTAAAGATTACAAACTAAACAAGAGAAACGAGACAAAAAAATACAAGAAAAACAGTAAGAATACTATTGTTCATTTAATTTTAACCGATGGCTTCATTTGAATGCTAGTTTAAGCTCTTTCGAGGATGAATATATATATATATATATATATATATATATATATATATATATATATATATATATTATATATATATATATTATATATATATATATATATATATATATATATATATATATTATATATATATATATATATCGAAGTAGCAGCAATTTATTAAAAATTTTTAATAATTTTCTGTAAACAACATAAAAATATTATGAACTATGTATTGCAATCAATACTTAAAAAAACTGAAAAAGAAACATACATAATCAAAAAACAAAAGACTATACAATAAATAAAAAGGTAAAAACCATATCTTACCAGCAGAAATTAAAATATTAACAATCTTAAATCTACATTAAATACTATCTAGAAATAAAATAAACAGGAACGAGAATAGAAAGAAAATAAACATGATTTTACAACACAAAGTATATTTTTTTTGTCTTTATAGAGGGGGGAGGGTCTGAAATCTTCAGACATCTCAGTCCAGGATGCCACCTGACTGACTTAGTGCAGGATTCATTCTTCGTAGTTCAGGCGATAGTTCCTGAGGTACTTTAAAAACATCCTCTCTTTCGCTGATTCTACGTCAAATGCCTACCTGCTAAAACAGACCCTACTCTGACATTCAGTGCTCCTAAAGTGAAAAGGCCACTGAAAGACCGAGTTAACACTTCCCAAACACTATCTTCAGTTGGGAATAAGCACAATGTTTTGTATGTTATAGTTACTGATGTTTTAATCTCTATGACCAGATATTGTTACCAAAAATACAAAATTGTGATTTATTTTCAGAAAATAAATCACAATTTTGTATCTATGATAACAGCCTCTTGTCATATAGATTGAAAAATATCAATAAATAAACATATTATGGCTTATTTCTACATTTTCCCTTAAAACTGCAGTGTATCCATCAAAGGAAAAAGATCTAGCGCCTGAAAATAAACAATTAATTATAGACAAATTCCAGTGACAAGTCAAACATGATAAAATCTATAATTACCCTTTTTTATAGTCTATTAACACCTTGACGGACACCTAAGTTATTCAAAAATAGTCAATTTGTACAGTGTCCTTTTTGTCGATATTATTACCATAATATATTACGATAATTTACCAGATGGGGTAACAGATTGGAAGGTATAGATAGGTATTCTACGACAGTGGATTACGTGTTACCATGTATTTATATTATAAATATAACGCGGTACAGCGTTCTGCCACGATATTAGATTTTGTTAAGGACGCTTCACAGCGTTCTGTCACAACAAAATTTTAAAAAAAGACGCTGCACAGCGTCTCTGTCCATCAACGTGTTAACTTCAATGAAGCTAATTCAGCCTCATCAATAGCTCTCTGCCTCTCCTTCTCAGCTGCTTCTCTTAAGGCTTTTGCTTTCAGCATATCTTCTTCTAAAATCTTCATTTTCATCCTATGAATCTCCTCTTGCTGCCTGATGGTATAATCAGGCAGCAAGATGTTGACCTCAGGTTGGCAGTTATAATTTGTTGCTATGAACTCCCAAGCCATATTTTTCTCCACACGCGTTTCTACCACAGCGTTTTCTGTTACCAGTTGAATTAGGAGAACTTTTTCCTTTGTTGAGTAAGGTGCATATTTACTGCTATTTCCACTCATCTAAAATTTACATAACCAATTTATTTAGCGTACGGCTTACACATGCACTATAATTATAATGATTGTAACGCATTACCATTACATACATATAAATATATCCAAAAATAAATATACATAAGCATATATTTTGAACATCAAAAATTATGCCTCAGACACAGTAACAAAATAGAAATTATTTCTGTAGAATAAATATTTTTTATAACATATTACATACCTTAAAATAGTTAATATCCAGTATTAATTTCAAACACAAAATATTAATATCAAACACAAAATTTCAGTAAGTAGCATAAACTAAATTTGGCGCTAAAAGTTTAGTCACAATTATGAGAAAAATTGACAGAATCTTCTTTTTTTTCGATGTTTATTCGTAATTTACTTTTACCGTACTAATTTTTTCTTGCTTGAGATCAAACTTGTACGAGAATACCCGAAGTATCGTTTATAGAACACAACAAATACTTGAGCATGACTTTGACGTAAGTTCGACTTGGCCAAGCACGTTCTCGAGCACGATCTTGAGTACCGACTATAAATACGGGGCTAAGATCCCACTGCAAAATTGTACATGTATGTAAAAATATGGTTTTGATGAAGTACACGTTATGAACATAGTGATTCTGCAGTGGGATCTTGTACTATAAATTATAATTGATAATTGATCAATTTTGCATTTTGTGTCTAAAATATAAATTACATTTAATTACATTGACAACACCCCACTGTCATGTGTACAAAATTAGTAATAATTATTGATTTTAACTTAATACAAATAGTTTTAAATTTCCAGATAAGTTGGGTTTGTTTATACATCTTTAT